CAGCCTGGAAGCCCACATTTTTCTGGATGTACTTCCTCTCCTAGTGTTTGGTAAAGCATTTGTATACAACGCAATATCTACGCTTCTCGAAGGTGTATATTTGTTCTATATTTTGAGAACCTCTTCTGTTGAATCTGAAGGAACCAGCCAGAGAGCTCCAGGACCAAGATGTAAGTCAGATGGGAACTGAGAATCAAAGGGATCGAGTCCTTCAGTGACAGGGACACAATCTCATTTTCTTACTTGTAAAAAAGAGGGCAGAAAAGCCTAACACCCTCACCAAAATAGAATAACTTCGGAAATATCTGTCCTAAAGCAGCATCTGCTTTTAGCTCATGAAACGTCTTGCCTTTTGGCCCCAGAGTCAGCGTATTGCTGCACTCCTTGGGCAGAATTCAGGGACGGTAATTTCAGGGACGTCTTTGATGAACTCTTAGAGTTCCTCCCCCATCCTCACTTTGTCTAAATTGATCATTGTGCTTCTGCTCACAGGACAGTCCCACTGAGAGGCGGCAGGGTGGGAGTACCCGCAAGAGGGCTGTGAGTAGAATGGTAGGAAGGGTGGACCTTCCCTCGCCCCGCAACTCAGATATCTGATGGTGCTGGGAGCTCAGTCCTGGGCTTGCACAGCAGGGCCCCGATGCGAGTCCTGGTGCTGCACAGAAAGCTGCAGACCTCAGCAGGCCCGTGTCCCTGAGCCACACAGGGAAGGGGGTGGGCCAGGCAGGACCTGTGTCCTCCCAGTTCCCTGGCTACATAACCATTGTGGCCACATCAGATTTTTTATGGCAGCTGTTTAGCATGAAGAGCCACATCCTGGTGCGTGGAACTCCCTGGAAGACCTGTGACTTTTGTAAGGTGCAGGCGTAAATTCAAACTGGGCCGGAGGGATGCTCTGGTCAGCTGCACACTGGAGGGAGGACAGGCTTTGGAGCACTCCCTGCCCTGGGCTGATCCCCCTGGGGACATTGCCTAGCCTCTCTGGGCTTCAGTTTCACCTCTGTGAAGTGGGGAGGGTGGTGTCCACCCTGGGAGGCTGTGGCAAGGGCTGAATGGAGGAACCTTCGAGAAGCGGCTATGCACAGTGTGGCTTTCGGTGGGCAGGCCATAAACTGCCCCTGCCTCTTTCTCTGCCAGTTCTGATTCTATCATAGCCTTGCTATGCATTCTGTCTTCCTTTCTTTTTAGTCCTTAACACACAGGTGGCCTGTGGAGGGGCGGGAAGGCACCTGAGTGACTGAATGCCTCCAGGACATGGCCCAGGGCTGCTGGAGGGGCGTGGACTGTCTGCTGTGCCCTAGGCACACAACAGGAGATAGGAGGCCCTCTGGGCTTAGTCCTGGTCCCCACACGACCAGATTTCTCCTGGCCACCTGCTGTTGACAGGCAGAGCAGCTGGTGAAGAGCAATCCCTGCCGCCATCAGGGAGGAGAAAGAAACATGCTGAGTAGATCTTTGCACAGAGTGATGCTCTGTGGCCTCTGGGAGCTCTGTGGCCTCTGGGAGCTCGACCTTGCTCTGTGCTATCTGCTTTCTAGCTGGGATGCTATGCTTTCTGTGTCAGGAATACAGCACATCCCTTGAGGAACTTACCTTCTCCACCTGAGTCTCTTAACATGGTATCTGCCACAACAACGATGGGTCTTCTTAATATATGGGCTAGGACAAAAACGTGGAACTCTTCCAGGCTCTCATACACGGGGTCCTCGGAGTTGTCCACACTGTGAAACAAAACAGAGCCAGCCGGTCACTGACCGAAACAGCATGGAGGATGGAGAAAGTGGGGACTGCTTCATGCAGGGGCTGAGCCCTCCCCACTCTGGATATTATCTTCACGGACCCCGGCAGCTGCGCCATCCTCGGCCACTTCTCACGCCATCCGCCGATGGCAAACGCACAGGTCCCAGCTCCCCTACCCCACCGTGGGAGCGGTCTCGGAAGACGAGTTGGAAAGAGCCCGCAGGTGAAGGGCGCTGGCTGCTGTGAAGGCGAGCCTCTCCGCAGCGGGAGGCAGCCCACCAGAGCCTGTGGCAGCGGGACTGTTGGCTCTCTGGGGGTGTTTCACAAGGAAGCAGTGGGGGCTGGAGGGATGGAGGGGTTCCTCTCCTGTTTATTTCCCTCAGAGACCCAGGGATTCCGTGAGCACATCTGATGGGCTGGTGGGGTCATTACCACCAAGATCTGAGGAGCCTTCTAGAAGACACCCCAATGGAAGAGGACAGTGAGAAGGCTGTCTGGATTTCAATCCAGAGCTGGAGGGGATGCGACGTGAATGTGCAGCCCAGGTGGCCCAGACCCTCCCTGACCATGCCCCCGGCTCATGTCTGAGGATCAGGGAAACAGCAGGCTCAAGAATGCTTCCACTCAAACCCTAAGACGTTCAGGCAGAAGGTGGCAGCCTTGATGTCCCCCCATAGCAGGGCCACCCAAAAGGGAGGTGCACATTGAGAGGACAGCCAGAGCTCACAGCGTTATGGAGCCTCGGCTGCACCTGCAGTGCCTGCCAGCTGAGATGGCCGCGCCAGCCAAGACTCCCCAGAGGTGGCTCTCAGACTCGTTCCTGAGTGTCCGAGGAATGCTCAGAATTAGCGGAGGGAGTCTGTGAGGATGGCAGCAGGTGGGGCCAGGGCCAGCAAGCGTGGCCCCTGGCATGGCCCAGGGAAAGAGCTTCGTGGGTTCATGGGCAAAGTTCCCAGTCACCTGGGACTTCCAGAATGCAGGTTGTGAATCCCAGGGAATGCATTACCATCACCTGGGGAATTCTGGTTACATACTACCCATGTTTTTTCTTTTTCTTGTGATTCAATTTACCTTGTGTTTTTGAGACAGAGTCTCACTTTGTTACCCGGCCTGGAGTGCAGTGGCATTATCTCAGCTCACTGCAACCTGTTTGAAGTGTTTGTCTTCTGGTGTTGTAAAGAAATAGCACTTGAATATAAATTTAATTGTTTTAGGAAGGCCATTTTTATATTTTTTATAAGAAGGGTATACTTGCTAGCAGTTTTGTTATGAGAGTATATTGAATAAAGGAGATAGGGTTATTTATAACCTGATGCATCCACCTTATTGCTATGTCTGGTTTTTATTGGCTGGAACGGGATTTTACATTTTGTATTTGTTTTCATTGGTTAGTAACTCAGAATTTTTTTAAAGAGGCAAAAGCAGAGGAGAGGAGACAAAGGAAGGAGGAAGTAACGTGTGGAATGTTGAGAAAGGTAAAAATGCTTTTAAATAAGGAAGAGGAACAGGCTATGACTTAATGCTTTCTTGGACTAGTATAAGTATGCCAGGGCAAATATTTAGGCTAAATTGTGGGAGCTAAGAATATAAAGTATATTGATTTTTAAAATTATGGCTAGCAGATACTTAAGAATGCTGGCACAGGTCTTTAAATTTTGCTTCTAAGAGAAGTTATTGTTTATTTTTAATTAGATGGGGAGGAAAGGCTTTGAAGAGGAACCACTATTTTACTTTTTACAATTCTCCCTCTTATAATTTTTAAAAAATTTGTCTGTTTTGATTTAATTGCTTTAAGAGAAGTAATTTTTTGAATAGGGTGGAGGAGAGTTAGGAGTTAACTTTGTAAGAGTGGTAGAGAGAAGTTTTTGTATAAAATTTTGAAGGCAGGGAATAATATAATAGCTTATAAGAGTAAGTATATTATTAAGAGTGAACAAGGTGAGAATTGAAGTTAAATTTTTTTTTTTTTTTTTTTTGAGACAGAGTCTCACTCTGTCACCCAGGCTGGAGTGCAGTGGCATGATTTCAGCTCACTGCAAGCTCCGCCTCCTGGGTTCCTGCCATTCTCCTGCCTTAGCCTCTCCAGTAGCTGGGACTACAGGCACCCGCCACCACGCCTGGCTAATTTCTTTTTGTATTTTTAGTAGAGACGGGGTTTCGCCGTGTTAGCCAGGATGGTTTCAATCTCCTGACCTCGTGATCCGCCCGCCTCGGCCTCCTAAAGTGCTGGGATTACAGGCGTGAACCACCACGCCTGGCCAAATTTTTTTTTTTTACTTATTGAATAGATGTTTTATTATTTTAGAAAAAGGGTTATTTATTTTAGAATTTTTGGCACGTTTATTGGATAGTGCTGTTAATTTTTGTAGTGCTTTTGTTATAGTTTTGTTAGGGGCAGTATTAGAAATAAAGGTACAATATTGAGTTTTAATTATGACATAATTTTTTTTGCTAATATTATATTTAAAACTTGTTTTAGGCAATTTGTCTGGTAGGTCCTAATTGCTTAGCTATTTTTTTTGATGGCGTTTTCAGTGTAATTTATGAATTGTTGCTGATTGTAACAGATGTAGTTTAGTTTACATTTTTTTTATTCATAGTTACTTACCAGAATAACGTGGATTTAAATTTTGCAGGTATTTGATTTTGTGTTTCAAGTTTATTTGGAAATTTTTTACAGGATTTTAATAGCATTTATGTAAACTTGAGGATTAAAGGACTTACAAGGAAATTTTTTTGGCCTGTGGTGTTTTGTTTTTAGTTTCTTAGATTGATGAAATGCTACAGCGAAGGACCACTAATTGGATTAGTACTGTTTCAATTATTTGGCACAGGGTTTAGTAAGGGGCCTTTACAGTACTACCATATATTTGTTTGGGGATGGCTAAGCATGGATTGATGGGCAAGCTTTTGGAAAAGCTTGAGCTTCTTGCATTATTTTTTAAATACTTTTAAGGAATATTAAATTTTTTTCTTGCCGTGAGAGGCACAAAGTACATTTGGCATGTAGAAAAGGCGGAAGCTGGATTGCCCTCAGGGGCTGACGCGCAGGGTGTTGAATTTTAGGAAATAGCAGAGAGAGCTTGGCATGATGGATTACTTTAAGCAGTGGGATTTTGAAGAAGAGCTACTACATAGTTTATATTTGGTTGACGAGGAGACCATTTAAGTGGAAAGGGGATAATTTGGGCCTCTGGAGTACCATGTGTACAAGTGTAATAGCGTAATAATTGTTTTTAAAGTGTGAACAGAATATTTATTTTAGCTAGGTGTTTGTATTTTGATACATTGTTTTGATGGCTAAGGTCTGTCTTCGATTTTTTATTTTTATAATAGACATTCTACTCTTATTAGATGTAGGAGTAACTGGTGTGGGATTTAGAACTTAGGCTGCTGAAGAAGGGGAAGATGGGGGAATAATGTGTATTTTAAAAATATTTAGGGTTTTAAAAAATTTATGTCAATTTCTATATTACAGAAGTGATTAAGGGCAGATTTAGAGTTAGTTAAGGTGGAGGTGGTGATAGAAGAACAGGGTTATATTGATAAAGGTTGACAGAAGGGATAGACTTTTTAATGAAATAGATGAAAGGTTTTAGATTTATATAAATTTTTTTTTTTTTTGGTGGAAGTTTAACTTTGCTCTTGAGTAGTTTAAAGGACGTAGTTCCATTTATTGCAAAATTGTTAGGCTGTAGTGTGTCCGGAGTTGGTTCCTTCCAGTGGGTTTGTGGTCTCGCTGACTTCAAGAATGAAGCTGCGGAGCTTCACGGTGAGTGTTACACCTCTTAAGGGTGGCACGGACTCAAAGAGTGAGCAGCAGCAAGATTTATTGTGAAGAGTGAAAGAACAAAGTTTCCACGGCGTGGAAGGGGACCTGAGCAGGTTGCTGCTACTGCTGGCTGGGGTGGCAAGCTTTTATTCCCTTATTGGCCCCTCCCATGTTCCATTTCTGTCCTATCAGAATGTCCTTTTTTCAGTCCTCCCTGTGATTGACTACTTTTAGGATTCTGCTGATTGGTGCATTTTATAATCCTAGCTACAGAGTGCTGATTGGTGCATTTTACAATCCTCTTGTAAGACAGAAAAGTTCTCCAAATCCCCACTCAACCCAGGAAGTCCAGTTGGCTTCACCTCTCAGTAGGAGCAGAAAATTCGCAGGTGATTATAACGACAAGTGTTAGGGGTAATTGTGTTAATTAGAGGGCCAGGATATAAATATTTGTGTGAAAAGGCTAGCTGTCATTGATTTTTTATATTTTTACAAGGTGTGATAGAGCAAGCATTAAAAGCAATGGTTTGAGGTGAGTTAGATGTAGTTACATTAACAACAAGGGAGCTAGTAACAGAAAAAGGAAAGGAAAGAAATAGAGAAGGTATATGAAAATTAAGCCTTTTAAAATTTTAACTTAGTAGGGCTTGATTTTAGTATAGTAACCTAAGATGTTTTCTTGATTTGAGTAGAGTGGGTCCATTTTTTTCTTGGCTGTGCGGACGGCAGTCTTAGTGGTTAACAGCATAAAATAGGGTCCCTCCCAGGCTGGCTTGAGTTTTTTATTTTTTGATAAGGATGTGGTTTTTAGGCTGGTGCTGGTGTACTGGAAATTTTAGGGTTGGTACCTGTGTTAAAAGATTTTTAGTTTTGAGGGAAGGGAAAGTGGAAGATAAATTAAGTCTATAATTTTCGTTGCATATTGTAGGGCTTGAGGCCCCATGGTGGCGTCTTCTGCTCCGTTTGTGCTTAGCGTTGCCTAGGGGATGTTGCGGCCCTGCCTCCTGTTAAGGTCTTGGCTTTTATGTGGCCTTCACTGCCCCTGCGTGTTGTGGCCTTGGGGATGAGGGACCTTGTGACTTATCTGGCCACCCTTGGGCTTTAAGAAAGTTAAACACTATTTTATATTTGATAATGCTTTTTGTATGAATTTTTTTACATTAATGTGCTATCGATGTTAAACTTTTTAAAAAAGATTTTATAGACATT